GGGGGGGGGGGGGCAAGATCCTCCGATACCACGCTGGCGGCACCCTCTACCACCCCGCCCCCAACTTCCTCGACAAGACATCCACCTGTGTCGCATCAGGCGGATACGTCAAACAACCTGTTCCCTTCAGCATCCCACTCGGCCGAGTGCTGCGGGAGCTCGCGCCAGGCTCGCCGCTCCGCCCGTTAGTCTGCGAGCTCAATCACGACAGCGTCCTCCTCGACGGCGCCCACGTTCTCCAGTGCCTCCATGATGCCGTTGAACCAATCGCTGGTGAAGATCGGCACGAAGACGAAGGTGATGACGGCAAAGGCCAGCACGATCCCAACAACGACCGTCAACTTCTTGTTCCTCCACCACTGCTGCTCTTTGACGACGCGCGTCCTGCGCTGGAAGCCTTTGGCGAAAGTGCCGAGGCGCTCTGTCTTCTCCGTCAGCGCGTCGGAGTTCGCGTGGTTTTCGAGGACGATGTCGACATTTTGCTGCATGACGTCCCTGACGCTGTCAACCTGCGACTGGATCACGACGACCTGATCTCTGTCGAGCGCGCACTCGATCTCGGTCGCTTGACGCAGGGAGGGGCTCTTCCATTCCGGCGTAGGCGGCATGGGAGGCGGTGCGGACGAGGGGCCGCCGACCTCTTGCTCCTGCAGCCGGCCAAAGCGAGTGCTCAGCTTCCTCGGGACGCGAGCCGTACGCGAGGAGGAGGCGCGCGATAAGGCTTTGAAAGGCCCGGTGCGTCGCTGGGGTGGGCGCGACTCGGGCTCCGCCATCGACATTTTCGAGGTGCACAGGTTCGACAGAAGTCGGCGGGCCCCCTCCAACAGTGTGAATACTCGCCGAGTTCTGTGGCGTTGAGCGCCTCCCCTCTCTCTCCCCCCTCCTCCCTCCTTCCCTTCCCCTCTCCGGCTGCGCGCATGACCGGTGCGGCGGTGCGGCCTCCGAGTCGGTGAGCGTCTAGCGCGCGCGATCAGGTTTTGATTTTGTTTTTTACTCGCTCGCCTTCCCAAACAAAACAATGTCGCCTTCCCCGAGCCGCCTGCATGTATGTCTGTCTGACTGTCACTGTCTGTGCGATTTCGGGCCGGATGTAAAAATCCTGATTTGTAACACACACACAAAACAAAAAAACGTTCGCGCACCAGGAGCTCGTCAAGGCGCGGGATGTACACGTCAAGAACTACCCGTCCCTCGGAGACAGCGCCGTCAACAACCGCGAAGCCGCGCGCTTCGTCTCCGCCTCAACGCCTTTCGCTGGCAAGGCCCTTGATGTCCGTGTCGACGGCACGTAACGCCACCGCCCTCTCCTCCGACACCCTCCAGGACGAGCTCCAGCGGAAGCTCGGCCTTTGGCTCTCCGCGGCGCTTCCCACCCTTCGGGTCGCGCTCGAGCGGGGCATGCCAGTCGATTTCTTCGGCGACTACCTTTACAACAAGGCCCACCACCGGCGGCCCCACGACGGCGTCCTCGCCGCCTGGGCGGACGCGATGCGCGCCCCGGCCAACGCGCCGGTCGTGCACGGCGACAAGGAGAAACCAGAGCTCACCCGGCAGTACAATGAGGGGTACAAGACTGACCTCGCAGAACCCCACGCGGGACCGGGAGGATGCGATGAAGTAAATGAGATCAAGCTCTGGACGCCCCTCCTCAAGACCTCCTCGACGGGCGTTGGCAACGCCTCGAGTGGCGGCAGCGCGGCACGCCCGCCTCCGTCGGCCACTCCTACGCCTTCGGCAACACCGAGGAGAAGGCCCGCCGCCTAAACATGGGCTGCAAGGCGCGCGGGCAGCCCGGCCAACCCTTCTCCCACAAGACCGGCCACGGCTACGTCAAGGCGCATCGCGGTTTCTACCACGACGCGATCTTTGTCAAGCGCAACAACTTCAACCTGCTGCTCCACGAGACGTTCGGCGGCGGCTTCTCGCCCACCGCCGTTCTCAAGCTGCGCCGCCTCGCGCGCAAAGTCGCGCGCGGCAGCGTTGACCGCACGGCCTACTCGCCCAAGTACTCGCTCTCTTTTATGTCCCACCATGCAGAGCGCATCTCTCTCTCTGTTGTGCGAGGCGTGAACCGCGCCATTCGCTCTCACCTGGCAACCCTGTCTGCACGTCTCGCGCGCGCGTGAACAGGGCTCCAGGCCCCAAATTACGTGTGAGTGTTAGAGTTGTTTGGGAGAGAGAGAGAGATTTTTAGCAATACCTTAAAGAGAGGTTACAGGCGCAATACCAAACAACTCTAACACTCACACGTAATTTGGGGCCTGGAGCCCTGTTCACGCGCGCGCGAGACGTGCAGACAGGGTTGCCAGGTGAGAGCGAATGGCGCGGTTCACGCCTCGCACAACAGATTGTTTGTTTGGTATTGCTAAAAATCTCAACAACAAATTGCTAAAAATCTCTCTCACACACACAAAACAAAACATCTCTTTCTCTCTCTCACACACACGTTGCAAGAACGTTGCCTCACGGAAATCAAAGCGAGTCGGAGTGCCTTCTTCTTCTCCACACACACACACACACACACTCACACACACAGACACACACACACACACACACACACACACACAGAGAGAGAGCACACAGGACGGCGTCTGCACACCGCTTGACGTTCAACCGAACAAATGTCAGACCCGAGTCCTACCGGTACAGAGCAAACGCCAGCGGCGCCGGCTCTGTCCGGGCCGCAGTCTCCAAAGGCTGCGATGCCGACGATCCAGAGCGTCACCTCGGCTGTGATCGCAGCCAGGCGCGTCGGCGACGGCTACGCTCGCTTCGACTCCCGCCAGGCGTCGGCCGAGACGCCCGGCGGCGGCGGCGCTCTGCGAAAGCTGAGACGGGTGCGCTCCTCCGACCGCATCATGAAGACCTCCGGCCGGTTGGTTCGCACGTCGTCGCCCAAGGTCACCGCCTCGCCCTACTCGCGCGCCTTCGTGTCCCGCACGCCGGCGACGCCCTGGCCTCCGCACGAGGGGTGTGAGGCGTCGGAGAGCGGCGCGGCGGGGAGCCACGTCGCGGACGAGGCCGCCCTGAGCATGGGGGAGGAGTGGCCGCCTTCGAAGCCTTCTGGCGCGGCCTGCGGCGGGCTGCGCGGCGTGCTGGGGCTGCGCGCAGGGACGAGCGTGTGGGGCCTCGAGCCGTGGGACCTGCGCAGATGGTGCCTCTCGCACGGCTGGGCCGGTGCCACGTGCGCCACGTGCGGCTCGTGGCCGTTCCTCTCCTCCCGCTTGTCCTGGCTGGAGCTGTGGTGGACACCGCCAAAGGCGCGTGCTCTCTCACCCGGAGGGCGAGGTGCACACCCGTGGCCGGTCGAGTGATCAGGATGGATGTGGGGGGTGGAGAGGAGGTGCTCAGCCGGTGATGCAGCACCTTGCCTTACCCCTTAGGTGCTCAGCCAGTGGGGCGAGAGGCAGCACCACGTGCACGCTGACTGGCGCAGCGGCCTATCTCCTCGGCCTCGTCATGGCCGGGGCACGTCCACGACATGTGGACGGCACGGACCCGTGTAGGAGCGGCCTCTTCTTCGACCTCGTCTTTGTGGGCGTCGCCTTCCAACTCGGCGCACCCTCGCCCCATCTCGCCCCATCTCGCCCCATCTCGCCTCTGCCTCCACCTCCACACCCTCACACCCAATCGTGCGGAGCTCGCCTCTCCCCTCCGCCCTCTCTCCCTTTCCTCCGGCCACCCCCCCCCCCTCCCCTCCCGAGGCGCCTTCTTCAATTACTCCTTCTTCTACCGCTGCTCCGCCTCACACCCCTGCCGCGGCCTGCTCGAGACGCTGCTCTGGTCCGCCGCCATCTTCGTCTCGATGCTGCGCATCTGGTCCACCGAGGTGGCCTACCGCGGCCGGCTGGTTGCGACCAGCCGACTCCACCGCCTCCTCGACCTCGCCACCTACTTCCTGCTCTTCGTCGCCGCCTCGAACATCCGGCCGCTCCAGGAGACCGCGAGAGGAGGGGCCGAGAGGGGCCGAGAGGAGGGGCCGAGAGGGGCCGAGAGGAGGCAGGGGCCGAGATGACCCTCCAGCTCTCTCGCCGCTGCAGGACTGGCTGGGCGACGCTGCGGCGGGCAACACGAAGCTCATCGCATGCTTTGGCCCGATCATGCTCGCCCAGGCGCGGGGCGGGGCGGGGGCGGCTAGCCTCGGGCCCTGCTCGGGTGAGCGAGTGGCGCCCCCTCTCCTCCTCAGGCGGTGTGGGTCGGCCGGTGGCTCGAGGTGGCTCTCCTAGCGCCGGTGGAGGCGGCGCGGCGGCAGGCGGCCAGAGAGGCGCGTGGGAGGGCTCGCCCCGAGCCCCGTCGGAACCTTCTCGGAGCCTTCCTTGCAGGCGGCGGAGATACTGGTCGACGAGTGCGGTGGGACCGCCGCCTTGCGGCTCGGCACTGCTCGCGCGCTGTGCTGAGGGACCGCTCCTCGCTCAACAAGCACAGGCGGTATCGTCGTGTGGCTGGTCGGGCGGCAGCTGCTGTCCCCAGGGCTGCTGCTGCTGTGCCAAACAGCCTCTCGAGAGAGAGGGACTGCGATCACACACGCGCCCCCTTGACTGCCCGTCAGGCTGCTCCTGCTCGGCGGCTTCTGGGCCGACGTGCGCCAGATGTGCCGCGAGGTGCACCTCCCCCACACACCTCCCCCCCACACCGACGCGTGCACCTCCCCCCCACACGCGTGCCGCACGGGGCCTAGCGCACCGCTGCTCTCCACATCCCGTCTGCTGCCCTGGCCCTTCTCTCTCCGCGGCCCTGTCTGGGACGTGTGGCGATGCGAGAGGGCTGCCCGCCGTTGCCGTAGCGCTCTGCCCGACCATCTCGGCGACTCTCGGCGACTCTGCGCCCCCACAGGCGCGCAAGGGGCTCCTCTCGGGGCCGCACTTTCCTCGCGGCCGCGTCTCGCTCCCCCTCAACGCGCACTTCGGCATCGCGCGGCGCGCAGAGCTGCACCGCCCTCGCGGCCGGCGAGGAGTGTGTGTCTTGAGTGACCCGTCCTCGCCTTAGTCACGCCGAGTTCATGTTCCTCATGATCGGCGAGACAGTGCTGCAGATGATTATCGCGCGGCAGCAGGCGGGAGCCGGCCTGCACTAGGGCCTGCACCGCCCCCGTCCACAGGACGCACACCAGACGCACACGCTCAGACGACCCTCTCGCTGCGTCGAGATCTCCCGAGACTGCCATAGACCGCACACCGGGCTCGCGACCGCTACACCAACCACCAACCAACCAGCCAGCAGGTGGCGTCGACGGGGGAGCGGTTCACTGTGGATGACCTCGAGGCCATCTTTTCGGACATCGACAAGAATCCGTCAGACAACCGCCTCGTCGAGTCCGAGCTAGAGGAGGCCGTGCCGTACCTCACCCGCCTGGGAGCTGAACCCCGCTTGAGGGGTGGCCAAGGGCACTTTGCGCCCCCCCTTCACACCTGCAGCTGTGAGCAGGCTTCCGCTCGCCGGCCCTGGCCGACGTGTTTGCCTTCGACGTGGACCAGAGCGGCACGCTTGAGTTCGAGGAGTTCGTGCCTTGGGCGGTGGAGAGACACTGCCCAGACACTGCCCAGACACTGCCCAGACACTGCCAAGACACTTCCCAGACACTACCCAGACACTTCCTCTAGCATAGAGACACTTTGTGGCGTGGGCACATGCACATGCGTGGGTAGTCACGACTTCGACCCCACCCCCCACACCATCCACCCCTCTCTGCTCACGCCCCCTTCACACCTCCCGCCAGGTGGAGCAGGACCCGGTCAGCCACCTCGCCCACCCCGTCCTCGCCGGCTACCTCATCGCCGCGTGCCTCATGTCGCGCACCACGCCCCGCCCCGGGCCGCTGCACAAGCGTGGCAGGCTTACGCGGACGGGTCGCCGGGCTGCGGGGAATAGGCGCCCGGGCACGTCGCCGTCGAAGGGACTTGGGGAGGGGGTGGGGAGGAGCGCCTCTTCACCGCCTCTGCCTGCGCGGCCAGGTTCTCGCACCACGTGGTCGAGCCGGACGTGTCGGACCACGTCTTCTCCTCCGTGCTCACCAAGCAGCACCGCCGCTGGCTCGTCGGCAAGCAGACCATCTACCAGGTGCTCTACGCGCTCAAGGCGGTCGCGGTGTGCCACGTCGGTGTGTGTGTGCCGCCCGCCAGCCGCCGGCCACCGCACCTCCCTTCCCGACGCGACGACGCGGAGAGGACGGCAGACGCGTCCCCCCACGCCGCACTTCGGCTCCTTCGGCCAGCCTCTGCTCGCCTCGGCCCCCTGCTCGCCCGCCAGGTATCGCCGTCAAGCTCAACCTGCTCGACGAGATAGACGGAGATCCCGACGCCGCGGGCCCAGACACGGCGCACCCTGTCGTCCAGCGCGAGTTTGGGCGGCGGCTTCTCCTCGGCGTCTCGATCACGGCGACCTTCGCGCTGCAGATGCTCATGCAGCCGCTGCACACCTCGTACCTCAAAAACTACTCGCTGCCCGCCCTCCGGCTGCAGGTGGCGCCGCGGGGCGCGGATCCCCCTCTCCCACAGCTTCCACATGCATCCGACACCCACAACAGCGACCCCGCCACCCCAACCACTCTCCTCTGTCCACACCAAGCGCACACACTCCCTCCCCCCACCCTCCCAGCTGCCTCCCCCGCGCCTCCGCCTCGCAGCCTCGCCGCGCCGCCCTCGTACTCGGCCGGCTGGTTCTGCTCTGCGCCACGCCCGCCGTCGCGCTGAGGGAGCACGTGCCGCAGGCGCCAGGCATCTAGCCGAGAGCAGCACCACACAGTCCGCGGCGATTGTAGAAGAGAGCGCACGCCCACCCCCTCCCTCCCGCCCCCAGGCGCGCATCGCACAGGTGGCGGCGATCGTGTCGCTGCAGACCGTGTGCATGTACGTGCAGGAGACCATGCCCCTCCCTGCCAAGGGCGAGATGCAGCAGCATTCGCGCGGGGAGAGCCCCTCGCTGACGAGGCGAGAAGTCGCGCCGGCACTGGCAGCAGCCGAGCAGGCGGCCAAGGGTTCCGTAGCAACCGATCAACCGTAGCGACTAGCGTGTGCTCCGTGCAGTGTATAGGCTATAGCCGAAACCTGGGGCGGGCATGTACGGCCTTGAAAACGCGTTGCTTTGTTGTGTGTATGGATTTCCCGAGGAACAGGGCGGAAGCGCGTCTCTTCAGTGTTCAGATCCGGGATATTCCTTGAGCCGTGGCGCGCGCCCGGTCGAGCGCGCCCACATTGGCTTGACTCGGGCCCGATCGGGAGGGGTCGGTGATCGCTCTCGAGCGATCTTTTTGGAGCCTGCACGAGGGCGAGGGAGAGGAGAGTGAGGGGGGAGCGTGAGCGGGGGCGCCG